CTAGTCTGCCACCTCCCCCTTGCAAGTCCCCCATGTCTACATGTCCCCACCTTCTCTGTTCTTTTCATTCTGCCTTCTTCCCGAGGCCCGTCCCCATCACCCCCACTCTGACTCCCCACACAGGGCACAGACACAGACTGTCTAGGGGCCATTGCTCATCTCTCCTCCAACAATGAAGGAGTCCAGAGGATTTGACCTTGCATCCTAGACAGCCTCCTCTTAGGGATTTGGTGTGTTGAAGGGGAACAGTGTGAGCCCTGAAGGAATGGGAGGAGCCAGCGGATCCTGGTGTGCAGGGGCCGGCCCCATCTGTCTGCAAGGCGTGGGTGGTTTGGGTCTGTGAGGAGCTCAGCCCTCCCCGGCCCCCACAGGCACCTTTCTGAGGTCCACCTCGTGGTCCTCAACAGAGCACTCTGAGCATTCGTCAGGATCAGCCTCTGACCACTGCAAAATTTGTCAAATGAAGTAGCGACTCCGGAACTCAAGAAGGTATGCCAAGGGCTGTGGTGCAGAGAAAGGAGAGGTCAGAGGAGAGAGGAGCTGTCAGGGAAGACTTCTAGAGACCCTGGGGAGAATCTGAGTGGCAGAAAGGGAAAAGCCACTTCTGGTCTGGAGCCAGTACCGAGGCAGGGGGGGAGCTGACACTCAGACCTCTGGGGTTCAGTCACCCCTCAAAGCTTTCGGAAGCACCTCCTATATGTGCAGACTGCCCTGAAGAACAGTGTGGACCTACAGAGACCCACACCCTGCTCTCCTGGGATAGAGGGCAAGATGGCTCCAGAGCCGCCCCCCTCTTAACTAATGGTCTTCTCCCTGCTCTGCCCTCGGTTCCCTGAGGTCTTCCCTGTCCTCCCTCCACTGCAGGAAGCCCATCTCAGCCAAGAAGGATGGCTTCTCGGGCCCTCTCTCCTCGGGTGCCTAGCTCAGCAGGCAGCAGCGAGCTGGGGCCCACAGTCACTTGCTTGCCCGATGCAAGGCAGAGCAGCCTGGTCTCTGTTCTGGGAGCTGGGACTGGACGCGGTGTCTGTCTCCCTCTGCTGGTCCCTCAGGGGACAGCCCGGCTAGATGCTTTCCCCAGAGCTGATGGTGCCCCTGTCTCCCCAAACAGAGGATGGCGAGTGTTGGGGCGGTTAAGGAAAGGGCCTGGGGACTCAGGCTGGGCCCCAGCCTGCAGGAACACGGCACTGCCTCCTGGGTCCCTGCAGGCCGGAGCCTGCCTCCAACAGGGGCCCCGAGGGGTGGTCTGAGGGAGGCCAGGTAGCCTCCCCGATGCCTTCCCCAGGGGCCAGCGGGCCCCGAACAGCCTCCTTTCCCTTCCAACCCATGAATGGAGCTGTCATCCATGGATTATCTAAACCTTTTGTGAAGCTATTTCTCTTTCCAGCCGAGACCACATCTTGGGGTAATGAGTTCCATCGACGTCCCCCCCGCTGGGCGAAGCACGCTGCCTTTGATTTGTCCTAAACTTACCTCACTCGCGCTCCAAGGGGGCCCTGTAACTGCAGCATGCCAGGTTGTGGTGAACAAGCCGGAGCTTTCCCCTTCCCATCCCCGCTGTGGGTTTAAAAAATTCCATCCCCTCTCCCCTCCACCTCCAGCCCTGCGGACTGAAGAGACCTGTCTCTCGTCTGCACGTGGAGCCCGGCAGTGTGGGCACAGCCGTTACTCATGCCAGCCTCCGGTAGCTTGCGAGGATGGCAAGGCCTCACATTCTCCTCACGAGGCAGAGGGCACCGAGGACCCAGAATCAATCGAGGCATGGGCTGGTGGCAGCAGCCGCAGCCTCCCCTCCTGTCCCCACCCGAGTCCTCAGGGTATTTTCCAGTCCCCGGGCTCCAGGCCTTTTCTTTTTAAAGTTTCTCTGGGGGGGGACTTTCCTCCCAGGTTCCTCGATTCACCCTTGCTTTGTCCACACTAATGACTTATTTTAACCCCGGTCCTGGCCTTAGGATACTGTGAGGGTACTCTCCAGAGATGGAGGACGGAGGTGGTAGGACACAGCAATAGCAACACTGACGGTGTGTACTAAGAGCTCTATAAACATTGGCTGAGTTCATCCTCACGACAGCCCTGTGAGATAGGGTCTGTTATTGCCCCCCCCCCAATTTACGGATGAGGAAACTGAGGCTCAGAGAATATAAGCAACACGTCCATTTGTACAGATCCTGAAAGCGATGGAACCAGGATTCAGATGCAGGCAGGCTGGTGCCTAGAACCCCACTGTCCTCCAGACAGACAGACAACTTGAGTTCAAGTCTTGGAACCTCTCTGAATCCTATACTCTTCAGTCTTTCCACATATGCTTATGAAACCACTGCTACGTGCCAAATTTGTTCTGGTTGCTGGGAGAAATGCTGGGGAACGGGAAAGGCCTGGGCAGCGCTTGCCTGTGGGGTCTGGTGGCACCTGGTATGCCACAAACGCAGGACATGTGCGTAAGTAGCACTCTGCCAGCTTAGTGCCCCCAGCAGCTCAGAGCTGCCTGGCTCGCTTGGTTACCCCAGAGTAACCCACAAATACCATTGTCTGTGTGTGCACAGCACAGCAGACTGCCATCAGAGCCTCGGCACAGGCCACTCCCTCTGGTCGGTCTCTGCCCCAGAATGGAAGCCACAAGAGTGAGGATTTTTGTCTTGAACTCTCTTTCCCGAACTTAGAAAAGTGTGTCTAATATGCGTTGAATGAATGAATTACTGAGCTCTGGGGATTCCTGCGACTTCAAGACCAACCAGTTGGGTGAGAAATGGTGGCTGAAAGGAAATTTCCCGACAGATAATTATTTTAAGAGTTGATACTGTAACCACTTCCCCCATTCCATATCTGCCCCCCGCACACACACATTCCCACACGCTTACATCCTCAAGCATTTGTAGGAAACCACCTCTAACGGGGCAGTGGCAAAGACTGTGAGAACTTTGGGTCTGAAAGGATCCTGAGGGAGCCTCTCATCCAACAGACTCATTTCATCAGGGAGGAAACTGAGGCCCAGAGAAGGGCCTCGCCTTCTCCAGTCTGGCACGGACCGCACATCGTCTTTGGGTCCCTAGACCCATCCCTTGCCCAACACAAAGGGCCCCTGATGGTTTTGAGGCCCCCGTCCCCCACTGCGCATCCTCCCTTCTGGCCCTGGAAGGTGCTATTGGCTGCGCCAACTGCAAGCCCGAAGAGGCTCTTGGCCTCAGATTGGAGAGCTCCCTGCCAGCCCCCCGACCTGGGGGAAGCAGGACAGCCAATTACAGCTCCTCTCCAGGGCTGTGGCCTGATGAGGGGCCCAGGGAAGCCGGGGGACCCCTTCAGGATCATGGCGTGTCAAGGTTGGAAGGGACCTCAACAGGCATCTCATCTTACCAACCACATTATACAGACAAGGAAACAACCACAGAGACAGGGAGACACTGGTATAAAGTCACAAAGGTTGTCAGTGTTGAAGCACACACTAGAAACCCGGGACTCCCGATTCCCAGCTCTACGCTCTTTTCTGGTGTCCGAACCCTTCAGAAGGGTGAGGTGATTCCTGACTTTTGGCAGGTGTGTGTGTGTATGACTGAAGAAAGACATTAAAAGTCCTAAAGAGGGGCCGGCCCCGTGGCCAAGTGGTTAAGTTCGCGCGCTCTGCTTCAGGGGCCCAGTTTTTTACTGGTTGGAATCCTGGGCATGGACACGGCACCGCTCATCAGGCCATGCTGAGGCAGCGTCCCACATAGCACAACCAGAAGGACCTGCAACTAGAATACACAACTACGTACTGGGGGGCTTTGGGGAGAAGAAGGAAAAAAAAAGATTGGCAACAGATGTTAGCTCAGGTGCGAATCTTTAAAAAAAAAAAGTCCTAAAGAGTTACGTCTCTCCCCCTTTCCCCAGGGCCTCGTTCCAAAGACCTCAAGGCCACAGGACCTTACAGCCCCACGGGGGTCAGAGCCAGAGGCACGGCCATGTGGTCATTCTCAGCTTCCCCTGCTGGCCTTTCAAGGAGCTTTGGCGTCTTAGGTCCTGTTGCAGTCCGGCTGCGCAGGTCATGGTGTGGGGCAGGCATGGAGCTGCTGGGGAGGCTACGCTGATTCACACGGGGATAAAAAGAGAGGGAGAGAGATTCTGAGAGGAGGAGGAAAGGTAAGGACGAGAGTAGCTAATGCTAGGTTCTTTTGTCTCTTTGACAGACCGTGGGGGGACAGCTGTTGCCTGGGGAAGAGGGGCACTGTGGGCAGAGGCTGCAAGCGGGATTTGTTTCTCTCATCACAGCTGCGTGCTAAAAGCGACTGAGGGGCAACTCGGCTTCATTTGGATCACACATTTATTCACTGAACACACACTTAGTGACCATCTACTGAGGACCAGGCCCTGTGTGAGGCACAGGGTGGGTCCAGCAACAAGACATACTCCCTGCCCTCACGGGGCTGACATACCCATGAGGAAGACAGCCATTAAATAAGTAGATACACGTAGGAAAGAACGTTGAGTTGTGGTTAAGTGTTGCGTATAATACAGCAAGGGCTCAGCTGGAGAGTCTGGGGACAGGAGGGCACCAGGGGCAGAGAAGGCCTATCTGCGGATGGGCAGCTGAAGCTGAGCCCTGAGGAAGAGAAGGAGCCAGCATATGAGAGGGAGGAAGAGCATCCCAAGTGGTGGGAACAGCAGTGCAGAGATCCCAAGGTGGAAAAGGATGAGGTGGGTTCAGGGAACTGATGGGGCCAGCCGGCTGCAGAGGAAAGCCAGAGACAGGAAAGATGGGTGGGCTGGCTCCTTGCAGGTTCAGGGTAAGGAGCTTGGATTTTATGGCAAATGTAGTAGGCGGCAACCACTGGAGGATCTGAACAAGGGAGAGGGGGCTGGCCCGGTGGTGCAGTGCTTAAGCGCACACCTTCCGCTTCGGCGGCCTGGGGTTCGCCAGTTCGGATCCCAGGTGCGGACATGGCACTGCTTGGCAAGCCATGCTGTGGCAGGCGTCCCACATATAAAGTAGAGGAAGATGGGCATGGATGTGAGCTCAGGGCCAGTCTTCCTCAGCAAGAAGAGGAGGATTGGCAGCAGATGTTAGCTCAGGGCTAATCTTCCTCAAAAGAAAATAAAAATAAACAAGGGAGAGGTGCGACACAGATGTTTCAGGAAGGTCACTTTGGTGTCATACAGAGAGTGGACTGGAGGAGACAGCCTGGAGGCATGAGACCACTCAGAGGGCTCTTACATCCTCCAGCTGAGAGATGACAGTGGCCTGAGCCAGGGTGTCAGTCGGGGAGATGGAAGAGGAGGGCAAAGTGGCCATCTGCTTGGGAGGTGGAGCAGTCAAGACTTGCGGAAGGATCGCAGTTTGTGGGGTGAGGGAGAGGCTGCTGTCAAGGATGACTCCCAGTGATCTAAATGCCTGGATAGAAGTGGTGTCATTTGCATTGATTCTCCTCCCAGGAAGGGGGAAGGGAAGAATTACTCCCCGCCCCCCACCCCGGTGCTCTAGGGAGGGGCCGGCTGAGAGCAAGGAGAAGGAGAAACAGAGTAGGGTCCAGAATTGCAGGCCAGGAGCCGGAGGGCAAGGGGGCCCGCAGACAAATACAGCCTACTCACCGTAGACGGCACGAGAGGGGCAAGACCAGGCCGGCCCTACAGGAACGCAGGGATGCCCAGGGTCCTACACAGAACCTTGGTGCGGGGGGACTGGAGGTCAGCGAGCCCGTGCAGGTGATTCCCTCCCACCTTACACACGTGGGGACTGAGGCCCTGGGCAAGGGGCAGACCTCCCCGCTGATGAACCCTTCCTTTTGCACAGTCCCGGAGTCTTTTTCAAACGGCCCCATAAGCAGGAAACGTTTCCAGCACTTCGCAGCACTGCCCCTCATTGCTTGGCAGCCCCCACCCCTCTGCGAGGCTCACAGACCCACTTCCGCCTCCAAGGGCAAAGCCCCCCGCTGAGCCTTTACTCTCGCTCTTCCCGTGCCAGGTAGCCCTTCCGCCCCCTTCTACCCGGGGAATCTTCTGTTCTTCAAGGCTCAATGAAGGATCCTCAAAGCCAGAGTGAACGGCAACGTCCCACCCCGGGATCCTGCAGCAAGCTGCTTCAGTCTCTTTTTAGCGCTGCTGGTTGCTGCCAGTGTCCGAGTCCCCGGCCCGGACTGGGTGCGCACGGTCTCGCTTCGACCCGGTCGCCCCGACGACGCCCAGGAAATCCGTCCTAAATCAGTGACCCAGGAGTGCGGGCCCGCACGGCTCAGGACTCCGAGCCAAGGGCTCGCTCCCCCGCAGCGGCACCTCGTGTCCCGGGCCGCGTCCTCTGTGCTCCCCGCGTTCGCGGGCGCAGCCGCCGGGACCCCAGGGGCGCGGGAGGCCGGGCGGGCCGGGACTGCGGGGACCTGCAAGCGCGGCCGGCGCCGGGCGCTCCCCGCTCACGTGACCGGGGCCCGCCCCGCTCCAACTCCGTCACGTGACGGCGGGGCGGGCGAGCGTTTTTCTCACGTGACGGAGGCGCGGGTGTGTGGACCAATGAGGACGCGGGGGCGGGCCCGCCGGGGGCGGCGCGCGGGAAGGGAGCCCCCGCATCGGCGGCGGGCGGCGGGGGAGACCCGGAGGGGGCCAGCCGCCAGTCTCAGCCCGCTCGCAGGCCAGGCCCGGGCTCGGGCTGGGGCAGCATGAAGTGTCTGGTCACGGGCGGCAACGTGAAGGGTGAGTTGGGGTCGGCCGGGGGGCGGGGACACGTGTGACGGCCCGAGGCGCCAGCCTAACCCCCGTTTCTCCTCTCCTCCCCGCAGTGCTGGGCAAGGCTGTCCACTCCCTGTCCCGCATCGGGGACGAGCTCTACCTGGAGCCCCTGGAGGACGGGGTGAGGGGCTGCGATGTGCGGAGGGCTGGGATGCCAGCAGGGAGGCCCTAACCTGGGCGAGTCCCCTCCACCGGGCGGGGGCCGGTGGGCAGAGTGTCTGCTGAGTTTCAGTTTCCTGCCCGGCCGCTGGGGCTTCACGTTGGGCCCTGTCATCTTCCCAGGCCAGTGCGTGAATTGAGAGCAGTTGCCCTCCCTGAAATGCCCAGTGGCGGGTGGGGCGACTTGGGGAAAGGTAGCAAGAGTGCTGACGGCTCTGTAGGGCCCTTGGCCATGGGAGCAGCGCTGAGGTGGACTCGGGGAAGACTTCGTGCAGAAGGTACCCGCTGACTGGAAGGAGAAGGGAGGATGTCCACAGGTGATGGTGGAGTTGGAGGGGATTAGGGCAAGTGTGTGAGCACAAGTGGACCAGAGGGCTGGGCCTGTCGCTGCCCCTTGACCGCATCCCTCCCCCTTCTTCTCCTGGCCCAGCTCTCCCTCCGGACGGTGAACTCCTCCCGCTCGGCCTATGCCTGCTTCCTCTTTGCCCCGCTCTTCTTCCAGCAGTACCAGGTGGCCACCTCTGGTCAGGACCCCCTGCGCTGTAAGATCCTGATGAAGGTGAGACCCTTCCCTCACTAGCGCAGTGCACCCCTGCCCCACAACCCCCACCAGCAGTGCATCTGCTCTCAGGCACTGAGTAGATACTAACTGGGGAGAGAAACTGTGCAGAGCAATGCAGTGCAAAATGCAGTGAGGGCCTGGTAAAGACACCCACAGACGGTCATGGGGGTATGGAGAGGGGTACTGATTCTGCCAGGGACCTGGAGAGAGTGGTAACATTCAGGCATGTCTTCCAAGGCATTCCAGATATGGGGAACAGCATGAGCAAGGGCCTGGACGTGTGTAAACATCCTGCATGTTGCGGGAGCTCCTTTCCTGGTGCAACAGTACTGAGCTGGTGATGGGCCAGGGCCTACAGGGGACATGAGAGCTGGTTGGTGGAGGCGCAGCACTGGGCTAATATGTTTCCCCCACCCAGTCGTTCCTGTCCGTCTTCCGCTCTCTGGCGATGCTGGAGAAGACTGTGGAGAAATGCTGCATCTCCCTGAATGGCCGGAGCAGCCGCCTGGTGGTCCAGCTGCACTGCAAATACGGTGAGTGGGCAGCCGGCTGGCCAGGGGGTCCCTGGAGTGTGGGGGTGGAGGTTGGCGAGGCCTACTGAGACCCTCTCTGCCCATCCAGGGGTGAGGAAAACTCACAACCTGTCCTTCCAGGACTGCGAGTCCCTGCAGGCTGTCTTCGACCCGGCCTTGTGCCCCCACGTGCTCCGTGCCCCAGCAAGGTGAGCACGCGCCCTGGCTGCAAGCTGAGCCCTGGGTCCCTCTCTTCTTCCTGGGGCCTCGAGGGTCCATTTAAGGAAGGCGCCTTCTGCATTTTCCCTGCAGGGTTTCTGTGAACCTCAAAGAGTCCAGCCAGCTCAGTTTGCTCTCACTCGTGTCCTTGTCTGGCTCTTTAAGGGCAGAGGCTGGAGTGGAGGACGAGCAGGGTGCTCCCTTCCTTCACGCGCCTCCCTGTCTTCAGAAGCCTGTGTTCTCCACCCCAGAGGTCCAGCTTGGCTTTCTGGTCACTCAGACTTTCAAGTCATTCTGACGCCTCTTCTCGAGAGGAGGTCTCTGGCCTGTCCTCATATCTTCTCTGGCCTGAGCAGCCTTGAAAGTCCCTTGTTAATCTTTGTGGCTCAGGGGCTCAAAACTCTTCTCTGGCCTGGTCATCCTTCTGGGAATGCTCCCCGTTCAAGGGCAGCCTCTCTTCCTACCTGCCTGGGCTCCAGCCTTGAGGAGTCCCTCGGCAAGGCAGGAGGCTGAGTGGGGAGGTCATGGTCCACGAGGCCTGCCTGCACAAGCAGCTGTAGGGTCGAGCCCTTCCGCACAACCAGAGCATCTAGAGGCTGTGCAGGACCCGAGAGGGGGGACTCCAGTGGAGGCGAAGTTTCCTGGTGAAGACCACAGAGAGGAGTGGTTCCCCTCCTGCCCTGTGCTGGACGCTGCTTGCATTTAAGTGGCCCAAGGGCTTGTTCATTTCTTTTGCTAGGCATAGGATGCGATAACCCGAAGGTCCCTTTGGGTCCTGACAGTGTGTCCTTCTGCGTTCTATTGAGATAGCACTGCTCAGGACTCCTTCAGGTAGAGAAAGCAGGAAGGCTGTCACCTCTAGCCTGGATTTGAGACTATTTCTTTCTCTCTCTTTTTTTTTTAACTTTTATATTTATTTATTCATCTTTGAGGAAGATTAGCCCTGAGCTAACATCCACTACCAACCCTCCTCTTTTGCTGAGGAAGACTGGCCCTGAGCTAACATCCGTGCCCATCTTCCTCTGGTTTATATGTGGGATGCCTGCCATACAGCATGGCTTGATGGGTGGTGCGTAGGTCCCCGCCGGGATCTGAACTGGCGAACCCTGGGCCCCTGAAGCGGAATGTGCGCACTTAACCACTGCGCCACCAGGCCAGCCCCCTTTTTCTCTTTTTTTTAGTGAGCAGTTGTTGCTCTTTCTCTTAGGGACACCTTCAAATACATATAAAAGCAGATGTCAGCTTCTGTCCCAATTGTTTTGAGGCAAATTCCAGATGTTACTTCATCTGTAAATATTTGTCAGTGTGTTTCCCTAAAAGCAAAGGATTTCAGGGCTTTTTCTGAGGGCCGAGTTTATAGGGACAGCATGACTGTGGTTTCCCACCCGTGGATGGGCAGGTACTGCCTGCCCAGTGCAAACAGCCCATCCCCCCTGCTGCCTTCTCTGAGCCCCGCTCTTGTCTGCCCGCTCCCTTGCAGTGGACTTCTCTCCCACAGCAGCCTGGGAGCCTTCGATGGGGCAGGGGCCTGTCCTCCTGCCCGCGTGCATGCTAGGCCTGGCCCACGGCATTTATGGGACGCTGGTGTGTGTTTGCCGCCCTGCCTTAGGTCCTCGGAGAGCAAAGCCACTGGGCAGGGCTGGGCCTTGGGTGTACAGTCACGCGTCACTTAACGACAGGGATCTGTTCTGAGATGTGTGTCATTAGGTGGTTTTGTCATTGTGCAAACATCATAGAGCGCACTTACGTAAACCTAGATGGTATAGCCTACTGTCCACCTAGCCTACGTGGGACTAATCTTATGGGATCACCATCGTACATGTGGTCCATCGTGACTGACTGAAACGTCATTATGCGGCACACGACTGTAATGCTGTGCCCTCTGTACAGGGTCCTAGGGGAGGCTGTTCTGCCCTTCCCCCCTGCCCTGGCCGAAGTGACGCTGGGCATTGGCCATGGCCGCAGGGTCATCCTGCGTAGCTACCAGGAGGAGGAGGCAGGTAAGGGAGCTGGACACAGCCTGGGACAGGGAGGGGAGCTGGGGTGGGAGGGGGCGGGGCCCAGAGGCCCTGGTTTCTCCTGTCCCTGCCTCCACAGACAGCACCATCAAAGCCATGGTGACTGAGATGAGCATCGGGGAGGAGGATTTCCAGCAGCTGCAGGCCCAAGAAGGAGTGGCCATCACTTTCTGCCTCAAGGAACTCCGGGTGAGGCTCCCCGCACACACTCACCACCCTGTCCTCCCGGCCTGCCCAGGGCCTGGCCTCACCGCTCTGCCTCTCCCGTCCCAGGGGCTCCTGAGCTTCGCGGAGTCAGCAAACTTGTCTCTCAGCATTCACTTCGATGCTCCGGGCAGGTAATTCCCAGCCTCAGGACAGGGTGGGGAGGGCTCTGGGATGCCAGGAGCTGAAGGGCCCTGACCTTGCGGGGACCCATCTCCTGCCCAGGCCAGCCATCTTTGCCATTGAGGACTCTCTGCTGAACGGCCACTTTGTCCTGGCCACGCTCTCGGAGCCGTACCCGCACTCCCAGGACCTGCGCTCCCCGGAGCTCTGCCGGCCAGCGCCACAGCTCCAGGCGCACAGGTGAGGGCCCCCCCACCCCGTGCACCCTGACCTGAGCCCGCTCCTCCAGTTCCTGCACCTCCCCCACACACACTTCCTGTCAGGCCCCAGCCCCTAGTGTTCATGGCTTCCAGCCGGCAGGCTCGGCCTTCCTGGTCAGCTGTGCTCGCAGAGCCCTCCCACCCAGGGAAGTGTCCCCAAGGTCGGGCTGGCTTCCTTCTCTGGCTGAGGCCTCCCCTTCGAGTCTCCCCCAAGGCCAAGGAGGGAAAGGGCTGCCGGGAGGCAGGGGGCTGCTTGGGGTGGGGGAAGCAGGTGGCTGGAAGGGCAGGTGGGTTGGGGAGGATGGGCCCAGTGTAGTTTAAGCAGAGGAAGTTTGGCCTGGCCCCCCGCCCAGCATGTCCCTGGGCTCCAGTGCTCTCCAGCTCCTGTCCCCTGGGAAGGTGGGGGCTTAGGCCCCGGGTGGCCCAGCTCACAGGACTTGCTGCTCCCCTCCCCCAGCTGAGCTAAACTTGTCCCCAGGATGCCTCCCTCAGGCCCCTACCTGAACTCTGATCAAACGGATTCCAGGCCCACCCCCTCCAGGAAGCCCACCCCCTCCAGGAAGCCGCCACTTAACCCCCCCTGCATCCTCTCCCCTCCAACTCAATCAAGAAGTAGTAAAACCAAGAGATCACCAGTGATCAAGAGCTCCCTGCAGCCCTCTCTGAGCCTTCCAGGTTGGGGCTCTGTGTCTGTACCCCCTCCTCTCTCCTTGTTCATCGATGACACCATCTCTATCTGCAGCACACCCCTCCTGGATGACTTTGCCAATGACGACATTGACTCTTATATGATTGCCATGGAAACCACCGTGGGCTGTGAGGGCTCCCGGGCACTGCCCTCCCTCTCCCTTCCACCTGGCCTCCAGCCCCCTTGTAGCCCTGGCCCCCACTCAGAGGAGGAGGAAGACGAAGACGAGCCCAGTACAGTGCCTGGGACTCCCCCACCCAAGAAGGTAGGGGCCAGAGTTGGAGGCAGGGGATGGGAGGCCAGGAGGGAGCAGCCTCCAGAAATTCACTCAGCTTCCTCTTTTCTCCTTCCAGTTCCGTTCCCTGTTCTTTGGCTCCATCCTGGCCCCTGCACACTCTCCCCAGGGCCCCAGACCTGTGCTTGCTGAAGACAGCGAGGGCGAAGGCTGAACTGACATCCTCAAGTCTGTGTCAAGAGGCCCTGGGCGAGATGCAGCCACAGCCTCCCCTTGCCCCGGCACTGGCCAGGGGCAGGGCTGGGTCTCCGCCCTGGTGGGTGGTAAAACTCAGCTGGCTGGTCCTGCTGCCTCCTCAGGCCCCGCCTGGCTATTGGTGACTGGCCCTCCAACCCCCAACCAATCATGTCTGTTCCCAGGCTTGGCACTGAGCTGCCACCTGACAGGAGGTCCTTCACTTCTTATTCCAACCATGTGTCCAGGGCTAGACCCCTGCCTTCTTAAGCCCACCTCCCTAAGAAAAAAATCACAATGGGGCTGCTGGCCCCTGCTGATCCACCTTCCCTGCCAATCATGATCTCTCTTCCTTAAATTCTGGGCACACCTCTGGGATCCGCTGTGGCTGGCACAGACTATTTTTCTTGCTTTCTCGATACACTTGGCCCTGGCTTGGAATTCTGAGCACCCCTGTGGACCTGAACGTGTGGCTGGAGTTGCCCTGCTGGGGCCTCGTGCCCAGTAAGCCTGCCCTGTCAAGTGGCTCCAGGCAGAAGGGCTGCCAGGCCCAGGTGTTTGGGACAAGGGAGACAGAGGCCAGAGTGAGAATCCAGCTTTGACCTTTATTCAAGAGACCAGATGGGTTGTCCCGGGGTCCAGCTGCCAGCCGTGAGGCCAAGCAGGGCTGGAGACCCACAATCTGGCCCTGCTTTGCCCTGAGCTGCAGCCTCAGCCCCAGGATCCTGCTCGCAGCCACCACAGGTGCAGGCAGAGGGAGCCCTGGGGGACCGGACGCTGCTAGTGATTCATTAAAAAAAAAATACACCAAGGCTCCGTGTTCCCCGTGACGGTGGGCCTGGGGAGCCCGCGTGACCCCCACGGCTGCATGATTTCTGTACAATCCACCAGCTGGGGTAGAGAGCGGGCACGCGGAGGCTATTTCTTGGCTTTGGCGGAGTTGCGGGGTGGGGTGATGGGCCGGCCTCCAGGGTTCAGGCCACTGAACTGCCCGTATTTCCCCTTGTTCTTGTCCGCGGGCTTGAGGATCTAAGAGAGACAAAGCTGGTCAGGCTCATGGGACCAAGCCACAGGGCCACCAGCCCCTTCCTTCCCGTTTCCCACCTGGAAGGAGCACATGAGCGTCTCGTCCACGCTCATCATGGCACCTGCGTTGTCAAACTCGCCACAGTAGTTGGGAGCTGAGAAGAGTGTCACCAGCTGCCGCTTGGCAAAGAACTCATAGCCATCTTCCACCACCTGGAGGGGGATGGGGGCAGCTAGTTCAGCGGGTGCTGGCTGCCCAGGCCCCACTCCCACCGGACCAGAGCTGCCAGCCCACCTGGTGCGCCCGGCAGATGAGGTCCAAATCGTGCTTGTGCAGGAACTTGGCCACCACCTCAGCCCCGAAAGTAAAGGAGACCCCACGGTCGTTCTCGCCCCAGCCCTGCACGTCCTTGTCCGGGTCGGACCACAGCAGGTCACACAGCAGCCCCTGGTCAGGCACGTCTGTGGGCCGCATGATACGCCGAATCTGTTCCATGGACTGCAGGTCGGGCGACAGCCCTGGGGGGTGCAGAGGGCAGGTCATTTCCTCAAATAAGCATCACAACAAGGACCCCCTGCTCCAGAAAGCCTTTGGTGGTCAGCCTCTGCCGGCCCCGTCCCCCACCTGGCGGTCTCCTGGGAGCCCAGGCAGGCAGAACTCATCACCTTCTGCCTCTTCAAGTCTCTGCCCTTAAGGAGTCAGAGCTCCTTGGAGAAACGAGACAAGTGAATTCCACGCTCCGTGCTGAGGCCCCCACGGGGGAGTGAGTACAGCCTAAGACGGGTGCGGGGCACTTCCTGGAAGAAGGGATATCCAAGCCCAGACCCCAGGGAGAGCTGTTCCAGGCACTAACAGCTCCATCGCGAGTCCCCCGGGGATGTGGCCGGGCTCCTCCTTCCCAAGCACTCCCTCAGCAGGTGCCCCAGAGCCGCCCTCACCTCCGTGGCAGCAGAAGATCTTCTCGTCCACGATGGCAGCGATGGGCAGGCAGTTGAAGCAGTCGGTGAAGGTTTTCCACAGTTTAATGTTGTAGCGTCTCTTGCCTGCCCAGAGGAAGGAGATGGCTCGTGAAGAGGCCTGGGTGCTCCACCCTCAGCCTGGGTCTCTCGGCCCTCCAGGACATTTTGTGGGCTGTTTAGACACAGCTGGGAGAAGAGAGTGGAAAGCAAGAAGGAAAACCCCCACCCCACTGCCTGCCAGCATTCTAAGGGATTCTAGAGCAGCTGGGTCCACAGGGACCCCCAAGTTCCAATCTGGAACAGCCTCAGGGTTGGCACCCACCCGTGAGCAGGGAGCAGGGCCAGGCCAAGACCAGGTCTGGTTTATCTCAGCTTCTGGCCGGCACAGTCCGGTCCAGATAGGCATCCTATGTGCTTAAGTAACGGATGTACTGGAGGGAGTGTCACCAGGCAGGGCCCTGCATTAGAATATGGTCAGCTCTTCAGTCAGCAACCATTCACAGACCCCTCCTGAGTGCCAGGCCCTAGGCCAGGAGGGCAGGGCCCTGCCTTCACGGAGCCCACAGTCCAGCAGGTGTCTGCCAGACATGATATCCTTACCACCAGGACAAGGTGAGGGTCCCACCGAATAGCGGAGGGAGCTCTTCAGGACCTGGGCAGCCCCAGACACCCAGCCCACTCACACTCATCATAGAAACCGTAGATGCGGTTGATGCTGGCACACTCATGGTTCCCGCGGAGCAGGAAGAAGTTCTCGGGGTACTTGATCTTATAGGCCAGCAGCAGGCAGATGGTCTCCAAAGACTGCTTGCCCCGGTCCACGTAGTCCCCCAGGAAGAGGTAGTTGCTCTCTGGAGGGAAGCCACCATACTCGAACAGCCGCAGAAGATCGTAGTACTGGCCATGGATGTCACCTGTGACCCAGGGAACCGGGTCAGCAACACTAGGCGCAAGGTCTAGACTTGAATCCCGGGCCAGGGTTGGGCTCAAGAAAAGAGGGATCCAGGGACTTTGGGAGGCCAGTGCCACTTTCAAGAAGCAAGGGAGGCTGGGTAGGGGGCTCACCACAGATCTTGAGGGGCGCCTCCAGCTCCAGAAGAATTGGCTGGCTCAGGAAGATCTCCCGGGATTTGAGGCACAGACCACGGATCTCGTTCTCTGTCAGCTGTACATTCTTTCCAGGCCGTGAGCCCTGCACTGGGGGCGGAATGGGACGTCAGGACCCTCGTCCCTCAGGCAGGAGGAGGGTGGGTGACACAGGTGGCCCCAGGGGCACTTCTGGAGGCTCCCAGGCCCCTCCTTGCTCAGGGGCAGCTGTTGCTGTTGGGCCTCCCGGGACCTCCGCCTCAAGCCTCCCAGGACGAAACCCCAACTACCCTCCAGGCACTTGAGGGGACTGCCACCGAAACCCCATAGCAGGACCCCTTCCCGGGGGTGGGGTGGGGGGGCTAGGTTTCTCAGGCTGCTCCCTCATCCCAAGAGCCCTGGCCACCCCGTGCGACCCCGGCCCAGGAGAGGGGGCTGCTCCCGTGCCGGAGCGGCCCCAGACCTCCTAGGCGCGCCGCGAGGGGAGGCGGCCGCGGCCCTCGAGGCCCGTCCCCGCCCAGTCTAAGCTGGCCCTGGGAGCCGCAGGCCCGCCCGCGCGCCACTTCCGGGCCGGGCTGGGGGCCAGGGCGCGGCGGGCGCCCACCCCCCCCGCCCCGGCCAACCTTCCAGCAAGCGCCCGATGATAGAGTCCAGGTTGAGCTTCTCGCTGTCGGACATGGCGGCGCCGCCGCTCCGGCCCAGCAGCTCCGGGCCCACTCCTGCCTCCCGCCCTCCCGCGGCCTCCTTCCGGCCTGGCACTCCTTCCGCCCTCCCCGGCCCGCCCCGGCCCGTCGCCCCGCCCCGCCCCGCCTGCTGCCCCAGCGCTCTAGCGCCTCCGCCGGACGCCGAGTGCAGGGGCGCCGGAGGCCCGGGAGGCGGGGCCTCGACTGTGGGCGGGGCTCCGCGAGCCTGGGGCGGGGCCTGCCCGGTGGGCGGGGCTTCGTGGGGCAGGGTTGAGTCTGGCCCCGCCTCTGAGGAGCACCCAGTCTCTTGGGGGAGGATCCGGGGCCGGAAGGACTGTAGAAGTTGTTTTTCTCTTTTAAAAGCTAAACAGTCCTGCCCACTCCTGCCCTGGGCGGGAGGGCGGTGTGAGCACGCTGATAACCGTCTCCCCAAAGACTGCGGATTAAGTCTTCGAAGTGCAGAAAAGGAAACAGCTTTAGCGATCGCAAGGGGCTGGTCCAAGACCCGGCCTGACTTTCACGGAGGACCTCTACCTCCTGAGTCTCTGTGGCCCCCAGACACTGACCTGACCCAGACACTTGCCGCAGACCTCCGAGCCCATTTTGGTCCACACTGCCTGTGGTGCGCACTAATTATTATTTTTTTATAAGCCCCATCATAATCTGCATCGTGTGCTTGTTAAAAGCATTACTTTGTAAAGAATAAACATTAAATAAACCGTAATTCTTATAGGAACCCCGAATTGGGTGTTTTACATGCCAGTAACCTCAAAACTGGAGATGACCTGGTCTGTCTGGCTCTTGCAGACCTTGGCCTCATCTACCCCCCTAGCACAGGAACCCAAGCCTGCAGCCACCGAGCCCACGGGGAGGGTGGGAGGAGCCCATGGCCCAGGGGCACTGGGCAGGCCGGAAGAGCCTCGGGGAGGAAGGGGGGGGACACCCCCCCACACTTGGGAGGGGCCCCCCAGTGGGTTGCTGAAGCTGCGGCTGTGGAGGAAGTGAGAGGAGGAGGTGAGGTGCAACTGGGAGGTAAGCTGGGCTGGTGGGGACGGGGGCTGGGCCAGGGGCTACTTCCTGTACGGAGGCCTGGCCTCTCTGCCACTTTGGGGCCTAGCCCCCCCCAGTAGAAGAGAGAACAGAAGGAGCTTGGTGAAATACCCTGAAACCTCCCCCCTCTGACCCTACAGCCAGGCCCTCAGGCTGGGGACCAGCTGGATGGGAGCTCAGGCCCAAGGCCGGCCAGGAGCTGCCTCTCACACTGGCTCTCCCCACGTCTTGCAGCCTGTGGCATCGGGGGGCACCATGGCCCAGGCCCTGGGGGAGGACCTCGTGCAGCCTTGTGAGCTGCAGGATGACTCCAGTTCTTTGGGGTCTGACTCAGAGCTGAGTGGGCCCGGCCCATATCGCCAGGCTGATCGCTATGGCTTCATTGGGGGCAGCTCGGCAGAGCCAGGGTAAGTGGGGCAGGAATGGGGGTGGTGGGGTACTGGGATTGAGGATGGGGTCTGAGGGCTGAATTCTAGAGTGAGGCCCAACCTCAAGAGTCCTGGGGCCTAGGGACTCAGCCAGTGCCACCCCTCCTCAGGCTCCAGGTGGAATCCCAAGGCTGGCAGGGCTA